AAGAAGAAGAAGAAGAAGAAGAAGAAGAAGAAGAAGAAGAAGAAGAAGAAGAAGAAGAGGTAGAGGAGGAGGAGGAGGAGGAGGAGGAGGAGACGGCGATGACGACGAGGATGACGACGAGGATGACGACGACGACGAGGACGACAACGACAACGACGAGGACCACAACGACGACGACGACGACGACGATGACGACGACGACGCCGACAACGACGACGACGACGACGACGACGACGACGACGAAGAAGAAGAAGAAGAAGAAGAAGAAGAAGAAGAAGAAGAAGAAGAAGAAGAAGAAGAAGAAGAAGAAGAGGTAGAAGAAGAAGAAGTCGAAGACGAAAAAGAAGCAGGAAAAGAAGAAAAAGAAGAAGAAGTAGAAAAGAAAGTTGAAGAAAGTTAGAAAGTTAGAAAAGAAAGAGAAAAACAATTGAAAAAACGGAAAAAAAAAGGAAGAAGAAGAAGACGACGACGAAGAAGACGATATGGCGGAGGGGGAGGAGGAGGAGGAGGAGGAGGAGGAGGAGTAGGGGAGGAGGAGGAGGAGGTGGAGGAGGTGGATGAGGAGGAGGAAGAGGAGGAGGAGGAGGCACACCTACCCGGGGGTTCGATGCCCCGCTGGAGAACGCTGCGCGGGGACGAGCGGCGGGGCAGCCCAATTGTTCGTTCGAATTCGAACGGGGAATCCGGCTGCCCCTTCCCGCCAGGCCGCCCGCACAACCCCGCCCCCCAAACACCCCCCCTACGGCCCCAAGGACCCCCCCAGACCCTCGGAGTGGCGGTAACGCCCGCTGGGCGAACGCGTTCGCAGCCCTCCAAAAGTTGTTCGTGCGAACGCGTTCTCTTCCCGTTCGGGCGAACACGGTCGAACGTGTTCGGACGTTCGGAAAACTTCCGAACACATTCGGTGTGCTACACAGGTAGTGCCTCTGAAACTCACGTCATGGGTACAATGCCATTTAATTTAGGCGGAGAAGCCCGTAATTACGGCAGAGAGATGGCTAGCTCAGAGTTCCAATGTATCAGTTCAAAGACCGGATCTGTTTAATTTGTGGAAAGCTTTGAAGAAGGTTCCTTCGCAGAAGCAAGCAGCACTGCAGTGGTTACAGTTGCTACATATAACTCCCTCATCAACTTGGTTGAACACGAAGGGTATGGATGTGTCTACTACCTGTTCCAGGTGTGGCTGGGGCTGGGAAAGCGCATCCCATCTGTGGATGTTCTGTCCCCACTCCAGAGTGATCTGGGAGCGGTGGAAGGAAAAATGGAAAAGTTTTCTCGGCTTCACAGGAGACTGGGGGGAAGATTTTATTTTGCAAGCTAAATGGACAGGCAACGGCAACCTCACTAGTGGGGCAGGTTATATGGCTTTGATCTGCAGAGGCATCATTTTTGAGGCAATCTGGTCTGCTAGGAATGCCAAAGTTTTCAGATCGGAATCAACAAATGTGCTGCAGTCTCTTAATCAGATAAACGCAGCGATTAGATTAGTGATAAGAGCGGACTGGAGAACAAAAGGTCTTTTCTGGTTCTCCATGACATGGGCAAAAGGGGCATCCTTTGCTTCGGTTTCACCTGATGGGAAAATGATGTACACTCGGTGGTTGCTGCAAGATTCAGGGAGTAGGAGGGAGACCGGATAGCTCCGGTGAAACGGCTCCAGGATGTTGTTCTTGGGAGGAGGCCGTATTAGGCCGCTGGGAGAAAAGTTACTCTGGTGATTTCTGTTAGGGCGTCGTTCGACACTCCTCGGGGGCGTGATTCCAAGGATTTCGTCTTCGTTCCACCTGTCCTCGGAGATGAAATCGGAAATGAAAATGTGAAAACACTCCGAGGCCAAATCCTTGGGCTCCGAGGATTTCCCAGCCAAATCGTCCTCGGCTCCAAGGGACCTCGCGAGGGACCCGAGGATCCGTGTTTCACGGAGAGGAGAGGGCATGCACGTAGCGAGACGTTACAACCGAGAATTCAGATCGTGGCGGCGCTCTGTTGGCTGAAAGCCTGAAGCACGATTTTTTTTCTTTTTTGTTTCCCTTTTTTTTTTCTGACATTGCTCCAAGGATGAGTCCTCGGGGCTATTCTCCGAGGACAGGTGGAACGACACCTCCAAAAAAAAAATAAAAAAAATCCGAGGATTCGTCCTCGGAGCCCGAGGATGCGCTGAGGAGTGTAGAACAATGCCCTTACTCTACCTCCAAGAGTCCAGAATAAACAATAAAAGAAAGACAAGAAGAGGATGCACAGTGGTCAAAGGGTGTTGTTAAGATCTGCCTCTTCGAGTCTGTTATCTTTTTGAGACACAGGATGAGCTACCTGGGTTGGGTAGCCTGTCCCCCTTTTTTTGGATAAGCACGCAGGATACAGACGCTGGCCTTCCTTTCCAGCAGAGTTGGTGGATAGAAGAGATAGGAGGGCTGGTATTATAAGCTAAACTGGCTAAGGCTGCCAGGATAACTCCGGGTTGCATTGTGAGGTCCCAGGCCTCGTCCAGATTGTGTTTCGAAATAAGAATTTTCAATGCTTTTCAAAAAAAAAAAAAAAAAAAAAAGAAACGACTTGCCTTTTTGAACTCAAAACGCTTTTTTCTGTTTTTTGGGGGAAGGGATTTTGAGAGGAGACATCATTATATTGCAAGGCCACTAGTGCGAAGGAATCCCTGGACTTGTGGTTTCGCGCTGGGAGATGGCACCGTTCTACAGGTGGGGAGCTGCACCGGCTGGAAACCGGCTCCATCGGTCGCTTATGACAAAATCGCCACGAACCGTAGAACCATGAAAATAAGAAACGGGTCCTTCGGGACATCCGTTCAAATTGGAACGATGCAGAGAAGGAAGATTAGCATGGCCCCTGCGCAAGGATGACACGCATAAATCGAGAAAATAAGAAACGGCGATGCAGATCCCAGTCTCTCACTTCTCCACTGCTTTCTTCGTGACCTCATTCGCCCTCTGAGACTCATTCGCCCTCTGAGACGGAGCCTCTTAGGGCCAGATCCCACTGGCAAAGAGGACGGGAATGAGTGTATGAATCTGGACGTGTTTGTGGCGAGGTGCTGAAAACTGTGACTCATCTGCTTTTCTGCATCTCTGCGCCGAACACGTCCAGATGCATACACTTATTCCAATCGTCCTTGCCAGTGGGCTCTGGCCCCAAGTTCACTTTCCTCTCGAGTCCATTCATACTTATTGCTTCCAGAACAGAAAATGCAAAACAGTCTCACAGCAGGAGAAGCAATGACAGTATTCATACAAGTACCCAAGGTCCCAAGGGAGAAGAATCGATGGCAGTAAGAATTTTTTTACGCAGACGAGGAGGAGGAGGAGGAAGACGAGGAGGGGGAGTCCAGGAGGAGACTCAGTGGAAAAAAGTAGCGGAGGGGTTTAAACGCATCAACCTTCGAACATGCTACGGGAGGAGAGGGAGCACGAGGCAGGGGAGAAAGGAGGAAGGAGGAGGAGAGGGAGGCGGAGGAGGAGAAGAGAAAGGAGGAGAAGAGAAAGGAGGAGGAGGAAGGGGAGGAGGAAGGGGAGGAGAAAAGGATTGCAGAGGACTTATTAAGAGTAACATTGTCAGAAAGGAGTGCCAACTTCGTTTGTGTGATACTACGCAGCCACGTACACAGCTTAAAAGGTCAACTATGAAATATTTTATATGGTGACCCAGATGATGCAGTGTCTCTCAGTCTCTCTACAGTAATTACTTTCCTTGTGATCTCATACTAGTACCTCTTCCCGCTCAAACCCACTGAGGCCGAGCCTCACCTCGTTGCTAACTTAAAGTCTGTTTTGAATCTTGAACATGAGGACTGGCAAAGCCATCGGCATCGGCAGTGACAATAATAGCTCGTAGCATGAGGACTGGCATTGCCTAGAACATGAGCYTGCGCTCACTCCCCGACTGGGTGCGGATGAGAGCCACGTCAGCTTCGGTGACACACCGGCTGTCGAAGGCCACGTGTTGGCATTTGAACGCTCCCTGSCCGRAGGTGTATGGCTCGCAATAGAGTGCGTATCCGCCGGCGTCGCAGTTGCAGCATGCGTTGGGCCCGAAGAACGGGAAGCAGTCGCCGCCCACATACCCGACACAGCCCTCAGCCGGCTTGGCATTGAAAGCCAGCGCCAGCGTAGCAATAACCATCAAGATCACGACCTGCCGACCGTACGCCATTGTGGCTCCTCCCTCTCCTTCACTGACAGGTGGTCGAAACGGAAACGATGTCTTCGGCTCTTCGAGAAACACTGAGTGCCCCCGATCGATTCACCGAAAACGTTTTGACACCGATGCAAAAGCCAAACGCCCGCTGATCTGTAGTCCCTGCGCTCAAATCAACCAATCCAAAGTATAACAAAGTTACAAGAAGAAGAAGAAGAAGAAGAAGAACAACAACAACAACAACGACAACGACGAAGAGGAAAGGCAGAAGAAGACTCCAGAAGAGAATAAGATCGAGATGCACAAGGAGAAAGCCGAAGAGGAGCAAGAAGAGAAGGAGAACAAGGAAGAATACAGGAAAGGGAGAAGAAGAAGTATTGTAGACTGACTGATAGAGTAAGCTGGCGACAAAGCCTCTACACGAGACGATCATTCAAAACGATGTTCACATTAACTATAAAGAATGATACCAGATGTCAACACGTTGCTTTCACATTATGGTGTGCCTGTTGCCCTTTCGGAGCGTGTTCACAGTAGCACTTCAGTGGATGAATCTGTCCGCAATTACGAACAGTCCTGGATGAATCTGACCGCAACTGCGTCCAAGGAGCAGTCGGAAAAGTTCTAGTGTGAGAGCAGCGCCCTCAGATATTCGATAGCAAGCTATGATTGTGAGCGGACGTAAGCCGGATTCGAACTCAGGGCAATACGTTGAGGAAAGTGCATGGTAGTTGCTGAGCCGGTCACGGCGGATTCACACCCAGTGGCAGCGCAGCATTCCAGTTGATGAGAGGACTCGACACTCTAGCCCACCGGCTACAGCCGAACGCCAACATTTTGAATGGACGCGGACCAGCGACGGGGCCAGATACGTTCAAGACACCGTAATATTTGGCCACCATCCAAATTGTTGACACCCTTAAGGGCATCCTCTCAATTGTGCATTCCCAAAGGACGGAAAAGAGTGTGGAAAAGACAAACGCATGCTCAGCGACACACGTGCCACTATATGAACTCATCACACGTGCGCTCACGAATTCTTCGCAGCACGTCGTTGAATGGCATTGCAGAATGCGCGTACGATGAAGGAAGCGGGGAAAGAAAAAAAGAGAGAAAAAAAAACGAGGATGAACGCGCAAGGAACGAGCGCAGTGACCTTCCAAGGCGCTATTTTTTTTCTTTTCTACGGCTCTCAGCATTGTGGAAGACAGGGATAACAGAGAGTCATACGAAAAGACAATTTCATTCCCGAGCACTCCCACTCCTACATTTGAGAGAACTCCATCCCGGTAGAGAGGGGAAGGGTGGGAGAGAGAAGGGGGGGAGGACAAAGAAGGAAAAAAAGATATCAGGAAAATATCAAAGAGTGTGCGTGCGCCCTCAGGACATGCATGCAATACTAAACATGCACGGCAGATCCATGGGGCACGCGCGCCGTGCAAGAACGTCACACACACACACACACACACACACACACACGCACACACACACACACACACACACACACACACAGAGAGAGAGAGAGAGAGAGAGAGAGAGAGA